TGCCTTTCAGTATCACCCCACTGTGGCTTGGCATCATGGAATACCAGGAAAAGCTTACCACAGGCCCTAACAAAGAGCTAGGCTTCAATTTCCCCCACTTTTAGCTGTGGAACCCTGGGAAAAGTGTATAACTTTTCTGGCCCTTTGTTACTTCATCTGTAAAATGGAGACAAAAATACAACACAGCTAATATGAAGATTAAATGGCATGATTATTATAAAAATTTCCAGAAGGTAGATTGTTCCCACTGGGTGTTTGGTATTGTTGTATCGTTAAGTCCACTAGAATTCACAGCCACCCTATGAATAACAGGTTGGAACTTTGTCCTATGCTGCCCTCATCACCTCCGCCATGGTCAAGCCCATTGTCACAGTCTCTGTGTCGATGCAGCTTGTTGAGTAGGTGTTCAGTAACTTATCAGTTCAGGAAGTCACCTTATCATTTCATGAATGAACTATGTAGGGAACTTCATTAGGACACGTGTCTCTTTTTTTCCTTTAACCCAACAAATGTCCTCTAGACTATAAGTACCAAGAGAACAAACAGGTACTCAGTCTATCTCATTCCATTCCTCACAGCACCCAAAACATGTGAGCTTTAGGAGGCACACAATTAAGGTTCATCAAATTTGTGGAGTAGCCGCCAAGAAAACAAGGATGAAAAAGCAAAGTGTGACTCTGAGGAAGCCCATGCTTAGCGGAAAAGACAGAAAACACCCCTCGAAGAGTGGTAATGCTGTCAGCAACATGCCAAGTGGCAAGAGAAGCTATCTTACGTGTGAGGTGTAGAGGGAGCATGACACTGCAGGTGGGTATTCCAAGCAGAAGGGACAACTAATATAAAATCTCTAAAGTAAGGGGAGCTCTGGTGGCCTAGTGGCAAGAAGCTGCACTGCAATCCCAAGGGTGTGCAGTTCAAATCCACCAGATGCTCTGCTGGAGAAGGAGGAACAATATCCTCCTGTACCAGTCAGATCTGATTTGACAGTACACGCACACAAAATAATAAAATTTAAAAAAAAAATCTCTAAAGTAGGTACTGGCTTGAAATGATCAACTCAAAGAGGCTCACAGGGCTAAAGCCCAGGAACTGGGATAAGAATAGAGAGAAGAATCTGAACCTCAACAAACAGGGCTTAGGAGACAAAGAGAACACTGAGTTTCACTCCAAGCAGATAAGAGTGGAAACCACTGGAAGGTCTTAAGCAAAGAGTAAGGAACTCTGGTAGCACAGTGGTAAAGAGTTGCACTGGAAACCCAAAGGCATGCAGTTTGAGTCCACCAGCTGCTTCTCAGAAAATAGACAGGCAAATTCCTCCGATATTACTTACATACAGCCTCTGAAAACCCACTGGAGGGTCAGCTAGGAGTCAGTTCTGACTAGACAGCATGGAACAAAGAAGTAGCTCAATTTTATTATTTGTAAGGATCACTCTGGCTACCAGAAAATGGACTGGAGAACAGGTGAGGAAAGTAGATACCAGTTAGAAAGTTAATGTAGTGATGGCAGAGACCCCCACTTCAGTGACCACCTTCCCTCAGCAGCATGTGGTCCCCAAGACTATCCTCTTTCCCAACTCTGATCACTCAGGAACAGATGTTTGTGTACAGGCAAGCTCCCTGACAAGGCCAGGAGCCATCCCAGGATAGGAAAAGGCTTGTTCAGGTCTTCCTCCAGGACAGCTGAATCAGTACCAAAGAAAGGGCTGAATCAGTGAGGAAATGATGAATGAGCGTCCTGTGCTGCAGGACAATATTAACAATATTAATCATCATCAAATACTAGAAGAGAGAAATGAGGCAGGAGAAAGAGGATGTAAGGCCAGATAGCAAATGGTTTTATGGAGCAAGAGAAAGTTGCTATCACAGCAATAACAAGAAATTTGAGCAAAGTGCAGCAACTATCTGTGTCCTAATCCAGGTGTATGTGGTTTGGGCCCTTGACACAACCCTGATGTATGAGCATCGTGTCAGCCCTGGGATATCCCCCAGAGGCAGGCATGGCATTTCATGGCACAGAGCGCACGAACTTGATAGGGAAAATTCCCTCATAAGAAAATCAGTGGAGAATGCCACCTGGAGAGGGCAGCATGTGAAAAGTGAAGGTGGGGCCCAAGGACTGCCTGCCTTCAGACCCCTGGCATGTCTCCTACAGAAACAAGGGAGCTGGTCTAGGGCTGAGACTAGGGAGGGATGAGGGAGAACTTCCAGAGGAACCAGGAAGCCCTCAGCATGTCACATACTAGCCACCTTTCCAAACCGAGCAGGTATGAGCCTGAACTAACTCACCTTTACCCCAATTCTCTCTCCCAGCCCTGGGACACTGCCTGAGCAGAGGCCTCCTCTCCAGGTCAGGAATCACAGAGCTTCTTCTTAATCCTTCTCCAGGCTCTGCCTGCCTCCAGTCTACTCTCCTCACTGTACTGTGTAATCCTCCAATAATCTCCAATGGCCCGTGGGATGTAAATCAAGTTCCTGAGCTGGCACCAAAGTTCCCCATGATGTAACCCACACCATCATCACATTACTGCTGTTTCTCCTGCACTCATGTGACAGGCTTCCCTTCTACCAAATGTGTAGGTAGCCTTTAGGCATATTATTCCCTCTCGGGGGATGTTTCTGTCCTCCGTCTCAGCCTCTGGAAGCCTTTTGGATGGGTCACTCTGTCACATGGCTTTGTCACATGCTCACTGACCTGTGGGCTCCTCTCCCAGGCAGCATTAGCTCAGAGCCAGCTCTCCAGACTCCCTGTGACCTTGTGCCTGGCTCTATGATGGCCACTAAGGATAAAACGATGGCAATGGGGTCCCTGCTGGTGAGGACAGCCATCAGGCTAATAGAGTCATACCAATATACAGACACCCACTGCTGAGAGCAGATAGGGAAGGACACAGCCTATATGCTTCAGTGGCTAAGAGGCAGGAAGGAGTTCTTCCAGGGGAGAAAATGTAGCAGAGCCCTAGAGAAAGAAACTTTCCTGAAAGCAAACTGGGCCTCAAAGGATTTCACTCACTCATTCACTCATTGCCATTCAGATGAAACCCACTCATAACCGACCCTCAAGCAGGCTTTCCTATAGATTGCACAGGAGACCACTCATCTTCCTCCTGTAGAATGACTGATGGAGTCAGGCCCCAGAGAGGTGCTGCCTTTGAGCTAGCAGCCTATCTCCCTCTAGACTAAGCCACCAACATTCCCTGATACCAAATTCACTACTGAGTTGATTCTGGCTCACAGTAACCTTCCGTTGGTTTTCCAAAGGTACACACCAAATTGGAACCACTGGTGGATTCCAGCGACTGGCCATTTGTTTAGCTGCACACAGGCAAGATGGTCATGCTGCAAGGAGTCGTCCCTGAAGATGTGTGTAGGTTCCAGGTGGACTTCCAGTGTGGCTGCGGCCTGCTGCCCCGGCCAGGTATCGCCATCCACTTGAACCCTCGCTTCCACACCATCAAGTCTCACGTCATCTGCAACACCCTGTATGCTGGGCGCTGGCAAGCGGAGGCTCAGTGGCCCCGCCTGACCCTGCAGAGAGGGGTCAGCTCTTTTTCTCTGGGAATGTGGCAATGAAGGTGAGCGTGAATGGACAGCACTTTCTCCACTACCCCTAGAGGCTCCCACTCTCCTTTCTGGTGACATTTTGGTGAAGGCTATTGGATTTGTGAACATCAGTGTCCCTTTCTGGAGGGCAGAAGAGAGTACCCAGTCGGATACCCTTTCCTGCTGAAAAGTCCCAGGCTGGAAGTACCATGTTCCCAGTCTTCCCCACGGCCTCGGGCCCAGGCAGGTCATCATAGTTCGGGGGCTGGTCTTCCAAGAATAGAAGGATTTCATGCTGGCTCAAGTGCCTGTGTCACTCTGGGCTTCCTCTGCAGACAGGACTCTGGCCTGGATCTCCCCCTGAGGATGCAGGAAGCTGATCTTGGCTCCCTTTCTATTTTCTCCCCAGCAATTTTTCAAGGTGCTGCTCCTGTGTCATGAGGGAGGCCTGAAGCTTGCACTCAGTGGACAGGGAGTGGGAGCCCCCAGCCTGAGCCAGAAGGTCCTGGAACGGCTACAAGAGCTGTGGATCGGTGGCAGGGAGTATCCAGCTTTACTGCGTCCACCACTGAAGGCGGGGGGGAGCAGCCAGAGAAGGGGTATCCCTATACTAGGGTTCCACGGTATGAGCCTACTTTCATGTCCTCATTAAACTGTCTCCCTGTCACCCAGTCAGACCAGGTCACTGCTGGGGCGACAAGTCAGAGTCTGCAGGGACTTCCGGCCAGAGGGAAAACACAAAGGTGTGAAAGCCTCCCTCTGCTCTGGGCCTGGGATGTAGTGTTATATTCCTTCAAACCTGGACAGAGGCTCAAAGAAGACATTAAAAATTGAATAAAGAATCTAGAACTTAAAAAAAAAAAGACTAAAGACTGCACCACCAGAGGGCTTTAAAGGCATCCGTGGTAAGGAAACAAAAAGGACATAGTAAAAGAAAGTAACAAAGAAAGGAAGAAGAGGAAGGGCAGTGGGATGGGCCTAACTTAAGTGGCAGAGGAAGCATAATGGTGAGAGGTTGGGCTTGCAACACCCACTCTGAGAGGCCTGTGTCCCTCTTGTGGGTGATGGGCACTTAGGGGGTTTTGGAGAAATAAAGTGACATGACACGGCTGGAACAGGGCTTCAGCAGACCCAATCAGCATGCTCTCGGCAGGCTCCAACATCCCCCACCCCACCCTGTGTATACAGAAAGTACACAGACCAGAAAACTGTTACTTGGTTGTTAGGGAGCCTTCATCCATGTCATACACACTGGCCACCACATGGGGGAGTCTGGAACAGACCGGATAGAGGTGGGAACAAAATCCAGACTTGGGGGCTTAGGAGGTAGAGGAGCATGGAAGTCTCTGTCCCATGCTGGACATGTCCCCATGGGGTGGGTGGGTGGGTGAAGAGACCAGGCAGGGCCTCAGATAAAGCGGGCCTCAAGTCCTCCAGAGTGTGGTGAGTGGGCGACAGTCAAGACAGCTTCTTTTCACGGGTCATCAGCCGCTCCACCTCCCGCATGAACCGCAGACACAGCTCCTCCTGCCAGGGCAGAGCCACACACTGCACGGCCACAGGCAACCCCACACTCTTCTTCATGCCCTGCAGGGGACCCGGGCATCAGGATGGAGACAAGGCAAGACCACACACCCCAAGCCCAGTAGGCACCACAGCTGGAGAGAAGTGGCAGCAGACTAGGGTCAGGCCAGTCTTGGGGGCGGCTTTCAGAAGCCCTGGCAAGCTGGCCAGTACTGACACAGTTTCTGCCACAGCAACTGCAGCTGAAGGAGGGGTGTATGTTCAGGGGACAATGGGGTCTGGGGGGGCACAGGCCAGGTCTCTTGGCCTCACCTTCCGAAGTATCCAGTCCCAGATGTCCCCAAAGTAGCCCTTGTAATGTTCCATCTGGGCCTCGTCCTCGGTGGTTACACTGGTGACAGGAAGCACCCCCGCTGGGAAGTCCAGGCAATTGTAGAGAAGGGTATAGCTCACGGCCCCTGGAACATGTCAAAGCTTGTCAGAAAAGGTCATGTGATCACTGGTGCCACATGGACCTGTCTTCTAGCCTGTGAAATTGCTCATCCTGCCTCCACAGCAGAAAAAAGGCTCTCTGCTAGGGCTGGGGTCTGAGTGGCAAAGCCCAGGAATCCAGAATTCCAGGCCAGGCTGGAAAGCCTGATGGTGCTGAGCCTGCACCTTTACCCCTGTCACGTCCCCTACCTGGAATGGAGTCCCTATTTACTTCAAACCATAAACTCTGAACCTCAAGATTCCTAAAAGCATCCCTGCTGAGGGCACCAGCCTCCACCTGAATAGTGCAGATAGACAGCGCGCTCATTCCCTCCAAGCTATCCCATCTCTACAGAGTCAGACTCAATGAGCACGACCTCAAACGTAGGGCTCCCCTGTCCCAGGGCTCCTGTTCTTCAACTTCTCAGCACTCCTCACCCCAGCACAAGGCTGTGCTCACAGAAGAGAAGGGACAGGTAGGGCTGTGAGTGGTCCTCACCTGTAGCCCTGCCTGGAGTATTCAAGTCCAGAGCAGGGCTCAACATTGGGGTCAGCAGCACATCCAGGTCCAGGGCTCTCCACTGAGCGATCACTGCGTTTCGGTACATCTGGAGAGGACACGAGGCAGAGCACTCAGAGTCAGCCAGCCACACGGGCTCTCCATTCAGGGACAGAGGCTAGGCAGCTCGGAAACAAGGCACAGGGGCCAGGAAGCCTCTGGGAAAGCAGGCAATGGCTATTCTTCAGCAGCATCAGCTACTCAACCTCTGGCATGAACCACAGACACAACTCTCCCTGCGGAGCATGCCCATTCACTGCACAGGCAGCCCTGGAGAAGTTAGGAGGCACCCACGAGAGAGCGCCCAGCTAGCACAGCTCCCAGGACTGGGCATCTGGGCATATGACAGTCAAAGTGCAGGGCCCAGAAAGCTAGTCCAGGGTATGGAGGGGGCAGTGACAGGCTGTCCCAGGAGACCCATGGCTGAGAGACCCTGCTGATGGATGCCCTGTCCAACTCCAACCTCCACACACATACTTGGCTCTAGTGTAGGGGCTCTGGCCTTACCTCAATCTCATGGTGCAGTTCCCAGAGCTTCCCAGCCGACCTGGGCAGAGGGAGTGAAAGTCACCGGCCATGAGGGTCACAGCCAAAGGGATTAGAAACACCAGGCCCCCTTTCAGAGCTCACTCCTCCAGAGACCCTACCCAATCCCAAGGGAGTTCTGGGAAGGAAGCAGGGCAAGCAGAAGTTCAAATCACAGTCCAGGTGAGAAACTCCGGTCCCAAGAGGGAGTTAATGAGTGTTAACTCAGTGATCCCACCAGAGTGGGGACTAAGGTAGCCTGAATTCCCGCTGTGCTGTCTGAGGTCCTGAGCATCAGGGGGTCAGAGAAGGAGTACCACTGCAAGATGCCAGGGCGTGAAAATGATGTATTCACACCCTGCTTTCCCAGTCTGAGCCACTAAGGGGAAGAGAGGACCTGGCGCCGCTCAGTTGAGTTCAGCTCTCTAAGAACAGCATGCCTCAATCTTTTCCAAGTATCTACCACGCCTCCCCAGCCCAACTCCTTCCTGACTTTTCCCACCCACCCCACCTCACCCCCAACCAGGCCAGTCTTCCCCTTTTCACCCCTTGCCCCACAGGGTCCTCTCTCGTGCCCTCATCTCCCTCAGACTTTTGCTCTCCAGCCAGGCCTGGGCCCTGCAGCCTGTCCCTGCTGAGACAGAACTTCAAGGTCCCACCTGAATGCCAAAGAGGTGGCCACCCTGCCCGGGTTGTTTCCTGTCTCAGAAACCACTCCCCTCCAACCTTTTCTTGTGGGGAAACCACTCACACCCAGGTAAGAGGAAATCAGGGGGAAACAGGGAAAGGCTACTAGGCACGCTTACAGAAGGAAGTGTTCTTACCTCGGCTTCATGTTGCTAAGAAAAGAGGTCAACCTTGGGAGCTGTAAGAGAGGCACAGAGTCAAGGATTCTGCCCTGAGCTGAGTTGTAGCCATGCCTCCTCTCCCTCTGTCTCTGCCCCCAGATCCCAAGTTGGCACCCCTTTCTGCATGAAGTGTGACTGAATATTGTAGAAGGGGAAAGGCGAGGAATACAGGATGGGGACTGAAGAGATGAGGAAGTTATGCCTACCCAAAGCAAGAGTGACTCAGAGCAAAGGGGAAGAGCCTGTAGCCATGGAGTATCCTTCTCCCAGAGATTTCATCCCAATTCCCTCCCACTTGACCCATCCTAGTCCCTTCCACTCCCTGCATCCTCACCAGCGGCTTCAGCAGGAAGGCCAGCAGTCCTTTAAGCCACACAGGGAGCTTCAGGATTAAGACCAGATCCCCCAAGCAGGGGTCCACGAAATCACCTTTGCTGGGAAACAAAGAGCCCAGTGTAGGGTATTCCTACCGCAGACATCCCCCCATTCCCAGTGACCTTGTCCACCTCCCTCCTCACTAGATTCAGTAACCACCCCTTCATCTATCTCCTGGAATTCCTTTCTACTCAGCCAGCAGGACCTGCCCTCCACCACTGGAGCACTCCAAGGCAGGACTCCATGTCTCTCTCTAGAAAATCCAGCTCAGAGCAGCAGAGCCGGGTGTCGGTATCTCCCCTACTAGGGCTTGATACGGAGGTCAACCCCGCTTGATAATGGTGGCAGCCTGGAGACACAAATGGGCTGATCCACAGAGGTCCACCCATGAATCTTGTCTCAGAGGCTATCTCTGCCTCAAAGACTTGGGGAATAATTCTGGGGCCTCATTCCCAGGGCCACAGTAAAGCCTGGACCATCCTGACTGCTCTGTGAGAAATAAACACCACCGCCAGGGCCTCTGACTAAGCACAGCATGGGGTGAAGCATCCCCCCAGGGGAGTCAGGGGATGTAGGTTGCTGGTTTGAAGGGCACAGTCATGCTGATCCAGATGCCATCACAAGATCTGTCCTCTCTACACCTACCAACTTTTAAGAACGGAAACAACCCAAAGGAATCAGCTTCTTTCAACATGAGCTCTACAATTCCCCTAAGTGGGTCTGGTCCAACTCAACAACTTTACAAAAGAGAAACCGAGGTCCTTCTCAAAATGCAAATACTTACATCGAGTCAGGCAGAGCCTAAAATTACAGCATGATGCTCAAGGCCTCCTCCCCTCCAATCTCGATCCTGCCACCTTGTTTCTCAATCTTTCCCAACCCAACTGGCGACTCCCATGCCACCTCCTCCCTCACAACAATCTCGGCTCAGTCCAACCTCCCCTTGTCTGTCTGGCACCTTTCCAAAGCCGCCCTAGCAAGGTATCCCCAGTCTCGGGAACAGCAAGGCCCTGCCCTGGATGCTCAGATTCTTCTCCACAGTCAGCTGAGGCTCACCCATAACTGCTCTCTAACCCTGAGATAGACATTCTCTCAGCCTGTCCATCTCCTCACCCCACCACAGGACCCAAAGCCCACCATCACTCACAAGTTCTGCAGGAAACGGTGGCCGCCATCACTGAACAGTCCACCTGTCGCCAGGGTCTCTAGTGCGTAAGGAATGTCACTTGGCAGGAAGTGAACCAGCTATAGAGATGGAGAGGTGTCAGTACCCCAGGACCAGCAGCCCTTGACTCCCATGAACCCCTTGCTGACTAAGGGGCCTTGAGAGGAAAGAATGAACCAACTCTACCCACAAGGCAATCTTCAGTGGACTCAAAAAAGTCCCTTTATTGACCAATGAAAATTCTCTATTAAACGCACGTGAGAGATGTCTAGAGATATATAAAATGTTGCCTCAGCTAAACAGACCAAAGCCCGAGTAACCTCTAGAAAGCTGTGCACTATCACTTGTGATTGGCAAGACCCCTAAATACAGCACTCAGACATCACCCAGCACTGGTCTCGAGCTTATTACCAATCACTACCCTTATGTTCCCCCAACCAACCCTTTATATACTGACCCCACAGAGACCCAGGTTCCATTAGCAGCTACAAAACAATAAATCTGGGAGGATGGCAGGACTTCCAGGCTACCATCATCATACCGTGTGGCCAGCCGCCTCAAGGCGCTCCTTGGTCTCCAGTACAGCCCTTCGCATGGCCGGGGTGGGCATGGTATAGTTGTCCGTTTCATAGTACCCAATACGCAAGGGCCGAGAGCTTGTGTAGATCTGGGGGCAAAACACAGCAGTCAGAGTCAGGTAAGGTGAGGGCAGCCCCAGCCAGGGATCCCAGAGACCAGAGAAATCTCTCCACCTCAGACACAGCCGTGAGCCTACAGCCCAGATGGATGGCTCTGGTTCTCCTTGGTTCTGATCCCCAGCAGGGCTACCCCTTCTGCATTTGACCATTTCACAAAATGCTTGGACAGTGAATGAGTAAATGCGCAGAGCAAAGGCTTCTCATTTGAAGATGAAATTTGCCCAAGGCAGCCAAGGGCAAAATGAAGACATTGGATTTGTTCCTAAGCTAAAGCTCTCCTCTACCAGTTTCAAGAGCATTGTTCCCAGCTCCCATGGCTGTCTCAGACTCTTAGTCTGGGACCTTTCTCCTCCTTCTCTCCTTCCTTTTGGGAAGGAGTTCCTGGCTACAACTATCTGAACCACTGGGTTCAAAGGACATCCCTCTCTGACATACACAGGTAGCTAGCTCACCAGTCAGCCCAGATTTGCCCTCCTGCTCCACTCCCAAGAAGGTCAAAGGCCCATTTGCCTGTCCAGGGACCCTCCAGCACTGCAGAGATGACAAAAGGCCTCTCACATAGACAGAAATGACTGACTGCTAAGAAACAGAATCACTATATAGCTTACTGTACTATTCCAAAGTTTTCACAATCTAATTTTACTACTCCTGAACACTCTTACTCAATAACTTTATTATTCGTTCCTGAAGGGCGCATCAACTCTTCAAAAGACAGCATCAAATGACAGTTTGCATTCAAGACTCTTTGAATGTCACTTCAAAATCCTCTTGATTTTATCTATCAAAGGGAGGTCCGGTTGGCCTAGTGGATAAGGAGTTGTGCTGCCACCCCAAAGGCAGGCAGTTCAAATCTAGCAGCTGTTCCCTAGGAGGAAGATGGGTAGTCTCTTCCTGTGTGAATTACAGCCTCTGAAAACCTCCCAGAGGATCAGCTATGAGGCATTTTGACTCAACAGTGCATAACAAAAACATGTCCACCAATTCTAAAGTATTAGATATGATTATTACTCAATCTTAACCATAACTCCACATTAAAAGACTCACCTTAAAACAGACTTCACAATCTCAAGAAATATGACAACTTTGCCTAGCCCTCTTGTCCCAGCTTTCCTTCACCTGCAGATCAAAAAAACTCAGCTCTTTTTGATCTGCAAGTTGTGTGGGTGATATTCTAGGGTACCAGAATTCAACACTACCCTCAGACACCAGCCTTCTCTGGGAGGAGGAAACAGCCCTGGTTTTAAGTGTCTTTCACTCACTCAGCCTATTACAAGTATCCATACTGCATACTGGAGATCTGCACACAAATCAACTAAGAAAGGCATTCATTGACTGGATCAAACACAGGCCAGCCACAGGAGTTCTCCCTCAAGGATTTCTCAAACTAGAAAGTAGTTTCATGGCACCCACTTCATAAGAACAGCAGCAGAGTCTGGGCCAGTTAGGCAGCCTTTCCTCCCTGGAGGAGCAAAGTGGTCCTTTGAAAACTGGAGTGTTTAAAACTGCAGACAAGGGCTCCATCTGGTGGCTATCTATGAAACAGCAGCCAAGCCCGACTTCAGACCCAAGAGGGGGTTTTCAGAAGACAGAGCCTCCAAGCTGGACCACATGGAGATATAAATGCAGAATTTATATGTGGATTCTCAATTATCAATAATAACTACATCCAGCAAATGACCAACCCCCACTCCTGCTCACCTCCTCCCTGAAGGGTATGGGAGGCACAGTGGGGTCCAAACGGAACATGTCTTCACTCAGTAGGGCTCTCATGCACAGCGCTAGGCTTTCCACATCCCGGGCCATGGGGCCAACTGAAAGCTGTACTGTGGAACAGGGAGAGGAGAGAAGAGAGACGGGAACAAGGTCACCTGGCCCCAGTAATGTTAGGGCTGAGTCTAAGAAATCACATGAGCAGAGACAAGGAGACAGGAACTCAGACTTAGAGTGGCTTGGCAGCCAAATGTTGCCCACAGGAGACACAGGGGCAGATGTGGACAGACAAGCAGAGGAAGACGTAGATCAGGAAGACCCCACCACCCTCCCGGGCATAAAGGGAAGTGCAGACCTCACCTGCTACTTGTCCATAGACACAGCCCTTCAAGCCACTCTTGCTGGGGAAAAAAACCACAAGATGTGGGAGTAAGAAAGGGTCACCTTCTGCCCATCCCCACACCAAACATAGCTTAGAAGTCACATTAACTAGGAATTAGGGTCAGTGTTGTTGAAATTCCCTTACAGCAAAATGTTGGGTGATCCCTGCCCTGAGCCCACAGCGGTTATATGTTAGGCCAGGGTCACACAGTTAGGGACCCAGAAGCTCCCTCCCATCTAACACCTACACCATACCTGAGGCGGTTCCCTGTGGGCTTGAGGCCACAGATGCCACAGAAGGCAGAGGGGAAGCGGATGCTGCCACCAATGTCAGTGCCTAAGCCCAGGAGGGAGCCCCCGGCCGAAATGAGGGCCCCTTCACCCCCTGAGGAGCCACCTGGGCTCTTGGAGCACTTCCATGGGTTGACAGTCTGGCCGTAGAGGGGGTTGCTGCAGTCATAGCTGGGAGGAACAGGAACAGGTCAGGTACGTGTCATATTGGTACTGGTGCCCTGCCCCGTCCCACACCCCAACACCCAACCTGAACATGGACTGTGGGACGTTGGTATGCACGAAGGGCACAGCACCCTGCCGCTTTAGCACCTGTACCACCACACTGTCACATTCCGATGGCACCCCATAGTTCAGGCTCAAGCCCAGCGTTGAGTCCTGGCCCTGGGAAGAGAGGCCCATGAGTTAAGAGACTGTCAGCAGCCCAGCCCACCTCAACCACCACAGGGGCCAAAGCAAGGTGGATCTTTGAACCTACTTCCTTGAGGGGCCAAGGTGACCCAGGACACAGTTCAGGCAGGCAGGGATGGGACAGAGAGTAGGGAGAGAACAAGGGCCTGATGCTGAGTCTTTCCAGGAGGGAGCATGTACCTTGTAGCTAAAACACTCCTTGAGGCTCACAGGGACCCCATAGAGCAGGCCCTGCCTTGGACCTGCCAAAGTCGGTTGAGTCTCGCAGTCAGTCAGGTAGGAGGTCACACAGTTGGTCTCTTTGTTCACTTCCCAAGCCTACAGTGGACATAAGACAGCGAGGCTGACCCTTGAGGGTATATCCAGAGAAGAGAAAGCAGCAACACAGCCCAGAGGGAATCTGGGTCCAGCATGTCCCTCTCCAGGAACATCTGGCCCTCACCTCCCTTTTTCTGCCTCTGGCCTTTCTTAGACAGGGAGAGAGAGTAGAGCCAGGATCTTCAAGGGTACAAGGTTCTGACTTCAGACGTCTGCTAGAAAGGCTCATGAGTTGGCCATGCACTTTCTGCCAAACCTCACCTCTGTCCCTGGAAGGCAGGCAGGGAGGACCCCTACCCAGACCACAATGGGAATCAGTGTAGAGCAGAGTTAATAGCCAGACTCTAATCCCCCATTGCCCAGAACTTTCTCCTCACACAAGTTCAGCCTCCCCTTCTTCAGAAATACACTGAAGTATAATGATCACACCACACAGAAGACATACTGGCAGAAGTAAAGGGGGAGAGGCTTCACTGAAAGGAACAGTGTCTGGGCTGGGCCTACTAACCATCTTTAACAGGTCCCTAGAAGAAGGTAGTGAGAGGCACAGGTATTTATTTTCTCGTGTTCCTGTTCACTCCAGAGTGCAACACCAGAGAGAAATGGATGTGGGTCTTGTTGCTACACCCTGGTGTGTGGGCAGACAGCCCTAAAACCTGTCCTCAGATTACTGAAGGCAGGAAGAGACCTAGGCTATAACCAGACACTGTCTCATCAATAACAAAAGCAGGGACATTGCTCAGGACCAAGAAGTATTATCTGCTGAAACAGCAGCATCCTTCCTTTCAGTGTCACCCCGCTCAGGGATTCCCACCCTTTCTCTTCACAGCCAGCCAGCCCCTCCCTCTCTCTCATCCACTCATCAACTACTGTTACTTACACCACTTTCATACGCACATTCATGTTCACACGCTTAGTGGCCACTCTCACGTGTCACACACTCTCAAGAAATCCTACGCATAGGGGAGCTCTGGTGGCCTAGTGGCAAGAAGGTGCAACTACAATCCCAGAGGTGCATGGTTCAAATCCACCAGATGCTCTGCCGGGGAAGAAGGGGCAATCTCCTCCTGTACCAGTCAGATCTGATTTGACGGTACACGCACACAAAAATAATAAAGCAAAAACAAAAAAAATTTAAAAAAAAAAGAAATCCTATGCAAAGTTCACATGCACGGATCACAATGCACGCCCACGTCCACTCATTTCAAATCCATTTCTTGAGCACTCACTACATGAAAGACATTGTGCTTGGCACTAGGCTGCAAGTACAGCTAAGACAAGCCCTGTCCACAGAGCACCTGCATTGATAGGGAGAAGAGACAAGGTTTAAGCTGTTACAAAGAGGAAACCCTAAAGGCTGGGAGTAAACAGGGTCAGGGAAGGACTCCTGGAAAGGGCAAATCCTCCCGTGAAGTCCTAGCCAGGAATCTGTGTCACCAGAAGAAGCAAAGAAAAGGGGTGGGTCCTGACCACCAGGAAGCTGCAGGAGTCTGTGGCCAGAGAGAGGGCAGGAGCAGCAGAGCCAGGCCTGCAGGTGGGCTCTCAGTCAAGGCATGAAGATTTGACAGGGGACCTGCCCAGGAGGCTGGTTCTTGGTCATGGAAAGAGCTGCTGGTGGTGGATCAAGCAGCTACAAGGGAACAGAGACAAAGGAACCACCTAGAGGAAGGTTTAAGAAGCAAACATACTTGGTGACTAAGGGAGTAAGGACCAGGGAGAGAAAGAAGGAAACCTGGGCTGAAAGCCAGATTGCTGGCTAGGATAACATTCTGTGCATATATGTATATATGTGTCTCTCTTTCTCCTCTCCCCCTACTACTCTCTCTCTCTTTTACACACACACACACGCACGCACGCACGCACACTTATCAGCTCTGGCTCCTGTTCCTCCCTGGCAGCCCCTGGTACTGTAGTTACCAGCATAGTCCTCCAGAGGCTGTGGCCTGGAATCACAATGCATACCCACGTCCAGCTAAGACAAGCCCTGTCCACAGAGCACCTGCACTTGATATGGAGAAGAGATAGGGTTTTCCCTGTCTCATGAAGAGGTGTGTTTTCCCCACAGCCTGTGCTACAAGCCTGAAGGAGGAGCTACTGGAAGGATCAGGCGCTGGCTTTGGCTTTCATTACCTTTCCAACATAGGTAAAAAGTGCAGCTTCAGGGGACAACTCTCCACTGCGTAACTTCTGTACCAGCTGTGTCAGCGGCAGGGCTAGCAGAGCTTCTGTGTCCAGGTCAGGGTTCTGTGGAGACACTTGGATCAGTTGCCCACTCCATGAAAGCTCCAGGTGGCCAAGTAGAGGCATGACAAACACTGTCACCTGCCAACCCATGGCAGACAAAGCCACGCACAGCTCTGACCGCTGCACGTGGCCGCTGGCTCCCCTGGACGGTGCAGACACATCTCCTCTGGTAGCCTCCTGGAAGGGGTGTCCAGCACAGCCTGGGTGATTACTTAGTAATTACAAACGACTACTAGCCACAGCCATGCTGCGCACCATGCTAGAGTATCTCATGTTTCGAATAAATGTTACTACCAGTCCCATTATGCAGATAAAGCTAATAAGTTTTTTATTGTCATTCCTATTATGCAGGACTAACTTAGATGGGGTGGGCACAATTTCAGCTGTGATTGTTAGGATATAAAGAAGCGAGAGGTTGGGAGAGACCAATAAAGAAAGTGAAACTTAGAGAAGTCTCTCACTCAGGATCACATGGAAAAGCCAGATGCTCTGTCCCCATAGCACAAGTCACTCACTGGCTAGCAACCTGCATCTAACTGCAAAGGAGGGTGAAGACTTATGAGACTCTGACCGTAGGTGGTTGGAGCTGTAGCTGGAAGCAGTATCTGAAAGGGAGGATTCTTTCATTCGCATCATTAATCATCAGTATTGGATACTGTCATGGACTGAATGATACTCTCCCAAAACACTTGCCAACTTGCCTTCCCAGTGGATCTGCAGTTAGGTAATAATGAGATCATTCTTCACGTTCTGATCTGATGTGATCTGTCAATCATTCCTGAGGGGATTGGAGGGGGATGCAACACCCTTCCTCAGGTCATAGGCCTGATCAGGTGCACAAAGAGTCTCCCCAGGGTGTGGGCTATTGTTAGGTGTTATCAAGTCAGTTCCAACTCACAGCGACTCTGGGTACAACAGAAAGAAATACTATGCAGTCCTGCACCATTCTCACAATTGTCGCTGTGTTTGAGCCCATTGGTGCTATCACTGTATCACCCACCTCACTGAGAGTTGTCTTCTTTTTTGTTGATTCTCTATTTGACCTGATGGAAGAGTCCCTCCTGTCTATCAGCTTCTGCAGGTCTAATGCATGGCCTGTAATATCTTTTCTCTTACAAGAGACTGAGGGAGTCCTAACCAGAGAAGAACCAACACTCTCAACATGAGAAGTCAGGAAATCAAAAGATAAATTGCACTGGGAAAATCTGCTATCAGGGACCTCTCTAGAGTGCTGAAAAGCAACAATGTCACTCTAGAGACTAAGGTGTGCCTAATCCAGGCCATGGTTTTGCAATTACTTATTATGCTTCACTAAGCATGACAGAAATAGCAGGCCTCTGAAAACCCTATGTACAACAGAACACATTTAGATAACAGAAATGGCAAAGGAGGTTGAGTTTTCAAGTATGGAAATACAAAGGAAGAGGAACAGTTGTAAGCAGACACTGGTGATTGGGACATGGAATGTGAGAACCATGAATGTAGGAAATTTAGATA